ATTTTAGTTAATTTTGCCTGATTAATTTGATGTACATCTGAAGCTCGGTTTTAAACCTGTTCATTGAACAGAGGAGAGTTGCAGAAGAATATCACAAATAGTTGACAAGGCAAGGGCCAATATAATTAACATAGGAATCATTAAAAAAATTATGTAATATGTATTTATTAATTTTTGATAGTCTTGGTAATTTTAACCTTGCTTACAAGAGTCAGTAAGCATTATTCCTCTTTGAACCTTTTAAATTCTGCCAAATGCATTGAAATAATTTTATTTCTGCTTGAGATTTGACGTATTGAAAATGGAAATGCCTTCTTTTATCTAAAGAAAGTATCCACCTAAAGAAATAAGCAATATTTTTTGTGTATTTGCCTAGGCTCAACATCGTCCATGGTATTTGTTTGAATTTTTAATTCAAGCAGGATGGAAGTTTTCATAGATACATGAAAGAGGAGTAAATGTAGTTTCTTTACTAATATCCCTTTACTTCTTGAGAACCCTCTATCTCATCATGAATTTTATTGTAATGTATTTGTTAGTGTAAGGAGAAAAAGTCTGGGAACATAATCGGCTGTTGGCTTTCCCTTCCATTACATTTGAGATGTGAAATTTCATTGCAGATTCTCCTTTCCATTCTATACCTCCTTACTATTTCACACATAAGGCAGTATCTGTTTTCTGTCGTATCATGTGTTATCATTTATTAAGGGTGCTGTGAATAAACGCTTGTTTGATTTATAAGAGTGAAAAATATATGAAAATCAGTTTCCAGAATAGTGATGTCTCAGGAATGTTTACCAGATAACGCAGGCAAGGAGACAGCATTCTAGAAGCATATCAGGAAGTTTTCTTAAATTTTGAATTTTAAATTGTTTGACATAATAATTTTTATCATTATTGAGCAATAAATAAAAATGTTATCATTTTAGATGTTTTTGTAGATCAGTATTTCATGTCTGGAATGAAAAAAGTGTTTTAGCCCTATTTTATTAGTGTTTCCTATTTTATTAGTTCTTCCTTAGTGTTCTTCTTTTTCTTTGTTTTTGTGAATCAGTTTTCTTTGAGGTTGCAATTTCTTCATATATTTTTTAAACTGTTATTGATTGAGGTGAGAGGTTTTATTCACTCTTAGTTTGTGTTATTAATAAATAGTTTTAAACAAATAGTTGCAAGCAGTTTTTTACTCTTTTTTGTTCAACACATGAAATAGTACTCTAAAGCTACAATAAGGAAGAAAATGACCTAATAAGTAGACTTACTGTAATTGAAATGTAATATTGAATGTTTTATTTTGATACAATAATATATAAATTAATTCTTAAAAGTTAAAAATTGTTGTGTATTAAGATTTATTTGGTTTCAAAGTTTTCTACATCTTGGAAGTTTTTCATTCAGTACAATGTCAATAATATGTAGCTGAAATTTAATAAGTTGATCTAATTCATTATTTTGTATTCTATCCACACTTTGAGCCAGTATGTATTTTGTTAATCTGTTTTAAAAATCTTGCTTCTACTTTGTCAATAATTTTTCTTTTGTTTAATTTTTTTCCATTAAAAATTGAGGGGTCCAGAGCACAAAAGGTATAGGTGTAATTTTGGAAAATTTTGAGTTAGGAGTAGAAATGTAAAGCTAAAACTCTATTTTATTTCATGAACAAATGGTATTTTAGTAGCTCAAACACTTGCTGCAATTGAAAGAAAATGCCTTCCATTGAATATTCTATAGCTTCTCTTACTTTGAACTCTTATTTTCTCAACATCTTATTTAGGGCACTTGTGCTCTGAGCCCCTCAATTACGATTTTTTGGACTGTACGCTTAATAATTATATTTATTTATTTCAGCTGCTCTCCTCGACTGTCCTCAAATGTTGATAGCAGAAGAAGAAAAAATAATTATTGAGGAAACAGCAGGGGATGAAACAATTGTTGAAGAAAAGTAAGTTGAAGATTTCTTCATGTTATTAACATATGGTGAACTATGATAGCTCCATTACATATACTGTGTATTGTTTTTATAGAAACAATTAATTTCTGATGTTGATATTACTTCCATTTCATGTGTATTACTTTATGTGATTTATACTTTAGATTTTTGTCCTTTTTTCCTTTGTCTTGGATATTATGTTGCAACTCTGAAATTATTATATGAATTATTTTCATGTTTTATGTCTGTTGTTTTATTCTTATTGTTGTGCAGTATATTCTGGATTGTCTTATGAAACAAATAAGTGAATTTGTAATAGATATAATCTCAAGAAAATATTTGTTATTTTTGTTCAGGAGTTTAGTGGACACTGTGTATGCCTTAAAGGACCAAGTAAAGGCTTTACAAGCAGATGTGGGAACTCTAACCCAGAAGTTGGAAGAAGAGACAAAGTTGCGCTCTGCACTCCAGCAGATTGTGAAGACTCACCTGGTGTCCTCTGATGGGGAGGACATTGCATGGCCAGAAGACTGAAAGGCAAATGTAAGTTGCCTATTTTTATAGTTGACTCCTCTGCTGCTGTGTATGGAAATTACCTTATGACATGATTACCTTACTTAAGAAACCAAAAGATTCCAGATTTGTAAAAGTATGTTTTGTACTACTTTTGTACATGTGTAATGTGCCAAATAAGAAAATAGATTATAGTTGAGTATTTTGTTAAGAAAACAACCGTTTCTTTAGAAAAGTACTTTTTTGACTCAGTATCTCTCTGATGTCTAATATCCTAGTAACATAATAATCAAATGAAAGTTTGCATTCTGTTTCAAATCGTAGCTGAGTGATTGCATTGGAAGAGAATGGTCTTTCTGAAGGTATAAATATTTGAAACATGTTGAAGTTCCTTGACTTTATATTATGCAATATTAATTGCTCCAATATTTTAAAATGTTGTACAACATCATTAATGGAATTTATAGTAGTTACGACACCATAGATTGTATGACTTTAGAATTTTATGATTGTGAACTCCTTAAAATAATTCAATTATAATAGTAGTATTGAGTGTTGTCTTCAGTGCAACTAATTTTCATTTCTCCTTTTGTTATGAGTATTTTAACAAATATTTATTATATAAGACATTTTGCAAATAGAATGTTAATCTCACAAATACTTTACAAGTGCATTCCCTCTTTTTGATGGAGGATTAACTCTCAGTGAAGCCATTTGTAATTAAAACAAATAAAAAGAATTGTGTGTGAAGCTTTAAGCTACTCTAAGTACAGTCTAATACATTAAAAGGGCTTTACACTTGAAAAAGTGTGTTTTATCAGTATTATTTTGTTGTGGGTCACAAGAGAGAATAAAGTAGTGTGTGTTACAGACATCAAAATGTTTGTAATATTGTCCTTAGCTAGGGTTTCTGGACTTTTGTGAAGCTCTTTTTATGGGAATTTGAGGAGATAAAAAACATGTTGTGTGGAATACAATAAACAAGCCAGAATTACTACTGAAAGTCATGACAGACATGAAGCAAACTTTGTACTTATGTAAGTATTGTATAAGGTTTTAAATGTTAAACTATGTACTTGAACTGTGTGCCTATTGAATCAGTCTTATTATTAGTACAGGTATATGTGTAGTACAAACACTCCTATTTTAGACACGAAGCAGCACATTAGCAAGTAGTACATAAACTTAAGTGCTCATATTTCCTTAGTTACTACGAACTTCTCGTTTCTACTTCCCCAGTACATGTATATGTAGAAAAAGTTTTAAAAAAATATTAAAAATCAATCTTGAGATTTTCATGAAAATTCTCGTTTTGGGGGATCTTGTCACAGAAAAATGTTTTTCTTTTAAATATGTTTGTGAATGTCTGTCTTGTCTGTGATCAACACTATCTCCTAAACCATACTTGGCATTTTTTCAAATTGCATACATGTTCTGTGATAATTCTGACCAAACTTGAGACCCAGGGAATTTTCAAATATTCTTGAATTTGTAAAGTTACTTTGAATGAAGATCATGGGTCATTTTCAAATATTTCTGTTTCTTTTCTGAATGATTGAAAATAATATTTTGTTTCAAGCCTCTCTCAAGCCTTAATTTTATATATACTACAGATTTTGTTCTTGATTGATATTTTCTGCAAAATAAGGATTTTAAATGATTCAGTTTTATTATTGTTTTTTTAAAAACTTAATAGTTTTCTCATACTTATAAATCAATTGAGCCTATTTTCCAAAAGCCCTTGAACAATATTTTTTCAAAAAAAGCATCAATTTTTTCTTTAAACTTTTTGTATAAATAGAGCACTGTGATACACTTTCCCATATAATACATGTGCTAATTTTATTAAAACTTTTGAATTTTCAAAAATTACAAAATGTTTAATTTTCTTAGAACCTTGTTTGCATCATAATATATGTGAAATATATCGTAGGATGTAATGCATTCATAAACACAAGAGTTTTATATGAAGTGTCCCAAAATCTTATGAGTTTTAATGAGTAGTTGAACCAAACAATCATTTTTTCCAAAATTGTTCAAATGAAATGTTCTTAAAAACACTATCGAATTTTCTCTGGAAACTTTTCATGTATTAATTCATCGCACTCTTTTATATCTAATTTCAGGGAAAACATTTGAAAACTGTAAAATTAGTTTTGATAAAAAGAAACATTATTATTAATATCAGTGTTGCAGTAACAAAACTTAAATATGCAGACTTTTTGGTGAGTGTGTGCATTTGGAGAAAACTGTTTATGAGTGCAGAGTTAGATTATTAAAAGATGGAAAATCTTTCAGACATTGTGCTGTGGCAATGAATATGTACATGTATGTATGGATTTGCAAACAAACCAGTTAAGGTAGCTAATAAAATAAAATCTTAAATTCATGGAAATTGTCAATAGATAGCTGGACAGATAATTAGTTCTATTAGTTTGCCGATGTTCCCGAACTGTATTCTCCCCTTATCAAGGCTATGGAATGGATAAAATACAATGTTACTATACAGATTCAAAGTTCAAGTAAAAATATAAATTATGTATAATTTGAAAAATTGAGGCAATGAAAAACATATAACATTAGGTCTTCTATAATCTATCTTAAAAATGCACCTTACTATTATTGCAAATTGAATACATTATAAACATGCATTCATTTATTTGATCTAATTATAATGACAATATATTTGTAACACATATTTTATCCATTCCAAAGCTCTGATGAAACCCTGAGAGATGCAGTTCTGAAATGCTGACAAACTAATATAACTAATTATTTGACCAATTATTCCTTAAAAATTCCCCCTGTCAATTTAAGTGTTGTCCTGAATTCCAGAAGAAAATGTTCAATGTTAAAAAAAGTTTTAGAAACCTTTTGGGAGATTCTCGTCTTTTATTTATTTATCATTGGTTTTGAAACATTATCTCAATGTTTTACTCAATTAATATGCACTATGTCTATATGAATTGATCCAAAAGGCTTGAGGTATACATTGTTTTATGTCAATAGTGGAATTTATGTACAAATCAGTAATGGCAAATAATAATAAAATTTTCAAAACTTAAACAAATTATTTAGGAAGCCTCCATTTATACTGAAGTTGTAAAGCTTGTATCAAGCTTTGATAATTAATTTTTATGTAATAATGTGGTACAATAATTATATAAGTAAAAAATAAAACCTTTATTCATTTGTAGTGTGAACCCAGGTAATTCAAAACAAAAGCTGCACACAAATAAATGCTCGATAAAGGATTCCCCCCCCTCCCCCCAAGAGAGAAAATGTACATATAATTAAATCTGAAAAACGCATAGCAATGTATATATTTTAGAGTTCTGCTTGTATAATCATAATTGATTAATTTTTCATGACCATGATTATTGTATTAAAAAAGATTGGCAGAAATCTATCATATGTACAGTCATAAAAACAAAATTAATTAAGTTGGATGAGAGATCCATTTCTTACGGTTGACCTAAATTATTAGAAGAAAGGAAGAAGAAAAAAACAAATTTTATTGAAATTCCTTTTTCATTTTCTGTTTCCTGATCAAACATGTCAAAGAAAGATACAAAAATAATTTTTCAAATGATGTAAAGGAGGCTAAATGTTCAATAAAAACAAGTTTGTGTACAAAAAAAATTAAAACTATGATATATTTCTGAATATAGATATGGAGAACTTGAGTTATGCACAATGTGTTGGTACAGTCACTGGATGTATTTTTTATTTTGAGCTGCTAAAATGTAACTGAAACTGGCATTTCAATGGATTTTATTAATACATTTATGAGTTCTGATAAAACTAATCATCAGTCTTTACATTTAAAAAGTACAAAAATAAATAATTATGTACATAGGTTGGTTTGTATAGAGAAGTAACTCAATACTATATAAAATATTTTCACTTAAAACACTAATGACTTTGTATGGTTATAAATGTCATGGTTAACTCTTCAATTACTTTCAAGAGTTTTCTAGATTTACTGAAGGTATTACATATTTTCTCTAAGCATTTCTTACTATGTTGGAAGAGAATAACTATATTTTTCCAAAGTAAATTTTCAACAAAAATTAAATTTTCTTAATTCTATGATTTACTTATGTAAATACATATTCAATTAATCAATATGTATCAAGAGATTGTATTTGAAATTATATCTTCTATGATATGTAGATGAGTTTTGAAGTATTAAAATATTGAAATAGTACTATGAAATTATTTAAAACTTTCTTATTTTCTTAGAGTAGTAGTTTGCCATTGTGTTTGTATCAGATTAAACCCTCTATCATGTAATAAACTTATTTTAAATATTATTTTATTTTGATTTTAAAGAAAGAGATTAATAGATGGAAAATAAAATTAGTTATTTTATATTGAAAGGTCCTTTTCAGGAAAGAACTTGAGTTCTGTAATAGTGCCTCAAAAAATGAAATACAAATTTTCTTTGTTGTGTTGTATGCAAGTGTTATACAATTGGAAAAAAACAAATTCTAAGTTTTCAACTAAGTTTTTGAAAGAAATATGTGAATGCAAGTGACAAATTTTAAGTGATTTATTCCTGAAACACTTGTTAACTTTGAAAGATGACATATTTTAAAATAAATAAAACATTCATTATAGAAATAAATTTAATTTTACTCATTCTCTGTGAATATTTCTGAGGTCTTTTAATCATACATGTAAGCACATTTTATCATACTTGCAAAGACAATTGATGAATAGTTTGGTTTTATTAATAGAAAAATGTTTGTTTATTGTTATTGAAAAAATGGTATCTGGAAATTCTAGTTATTATTCAGTTGCTTGTTTAAGAATTAACCTGAAAGTTTCATAATGATCCACAATTGTGAATTGCAGACTGACAAAATGAAACCCGAAGAAGAAGAAAAATCATTATAGACTCTCATAGTTTGAGCAATATAAAGTACAAATGAGTTAGAAAAGCAATTATTTTTGTGTTATTAAACATATATACATGTTAATGCAAGAATAATGTACTTTCCAGTTTTAGCTTACTTCTGAGAATGATATAAAGTTCTATAATTTCCTACCCAAACTTCTGCTAACTTACACACAATTTCAGTTACACATAATATGTTCTATTGCCTTTATATAACAGTATGCTGATGGTATTAGAATGTGATAATTGCAACAAAAAATTGTTAACAACATTTTGGACTCGGTATGTGTTAATTGGCTAGAGTTAATCTTTCTTCACTGTTTTAGAACTGAGCTGCTTAGTATTGATACTCTTTGTTTTATTAATCTATAACAATTGAATGCAGTTCTTGATAGTATCTACAAAAGCATTTAATAAAACACGTCATTGTCTCTCTGAAGAATATTGCTTGGTCTTTCATTTTCTGCGGGTGGCATTCTTGCATTTCTTGAGTACCAATGTTCAGGGTTTTCTTGTGGAGCTCCACCTTGAGGAGCTGACATTTGTGGATTACGTGAAAGAGAGGGTGGGTTTGTGGGGCTCCATCCCCCACTGTTTGGGCGCTCGTAACTAAATCCCTGCCGTGCTGCAATTTGAAGTGCTGATGGTCTTCGTGGACCTCCCATGGACCCTGAATGTTGTGGCGCAGCAACTATTCCTATTCCATCCTGATTTATCAGTCGTGGTATTGTTGGAGCTGGTTTTGGAGTGATAGCATCTTTACTGAGAGACAGATTCTTTTCAGCCAATTTGGGTGGCCATAAGTAGGCAGGCATAGTAGATAGGTGAGCCTCCACAAACTGAGGAAAGAGTTCCAAACTATATTAGCATCATAAATACACAAGTGATGTTTGAAGAAATCTAATTGAATAATGAATGTTAGAGTAAATATTTTTGAAATGAACAGCTAAACGTGTATCTGCTTAAGAACACGTTCTACAATGTAAAGGAATATTCAAATTACAACAATATTTCCCTTAAAAAATATAAATAAATAAGAATTTCTTATCCCATTAGACTTTCTGTTTCATGTTAACTGTTTTGAGCTGAAGCAAAGAAAAAAGAACTGGTGTATCGCATCCTGTGACGTAGAAGGAGAATGCCCAACAAAAACAAAAAATTCTGTTTCTCTCTGGATTTGCTAGACGCATTAGGTGCTGCATGTGTAAAAATTGAAAGAAGAAAAAAAGAAAAAGCTGGTCAAAACCTGCTTCCTCCTCCTCACCATTTGAAGTTTTAAATAAAGAATGTACTAATATTGTTAAATCTTATGATCTACTGTATAATATCCTAATCTATCTGAAGCAAGTATTGTATTATAATCCCTTGGCCAATGACCCCATCTCAATCAGGTTTTGTTCAGTTTCCCTGGTCCATTGCGCAAATGCTGAGTTGGCCCCTTCTTTTGCTCCTGAACAGTAATGTGACTTCGCTCTCTCCACCCAAGACATTGCATTGACTTGTCATACACAATTGTAATTGTATATGTGACTCAATAAATATTATCATCTTTAACCTTGCATTCCAAGTGAAATTCATGAACTTTTTTTTTGACCATTTGTAACCATGAACTTTTCAAAAATTACTTTCAAAAATATCTGAAATACAAGGAGAGTTTTAAATTCTGAATTATAGATCTTTTTGTAAGAAAAACTAATTTGCCTATAAAGGCTCATTTTAAGAAATCCTAATTATTTCTATTTTGTTTTCTTTTTTGCAAAATTTGTAAACAAACCCCTATCTATAAGATAAATTATTTCTATTAAAAAATAACCTTTTGTTATACTTATTGCTTTTAGGGTGGGATTAATACTTCAGGAGGTCAAAACTATGGAGCCCCCAATTTAAAATTTAAGTTTGCAATATTTGTATGTATTTATTATTAATATACAATTTTATTAAAAAAAGTTACGGGGCACTTATATCTATCAGGGGTCCTAAGTACATGCTTAGCCTTCTTATGTATTCATTGAATGATCAGAGCAAAACATTTTTGCTGGATTACTGAAATATTTTTTTGTATTTTTTATTATTTACTCTACATCAAACACATTTGTATCAATTGCCTAATTTCAGATCAAAAAGATTAAATGCACAACATTCCTTAAATTTTTAAATATAGCTCACCTGTTCTTGTTTTCGCAAATGAAACATTTTCTTGAATTGTACGAGAAGTATGATTAAGAAAACAACATTGATGAGCCACAAGAGCCCAGCTTTGGAAGCCAGCAGAGCCATTATCTTTGGTGGCTCAGATAAGTGGCTCTCTAACTCCACCGTACTTCCATCAAATTTAATATTCAGCAGTCCCATCACTGATTCAAAATCCTGAAACAAAACTTAGTTGTCACTCATGCTTCCTGCATCATGACAGGTAAACCATCAGTTTTCATTTTAATTTTTTATGATTTTATTTTATTTTAAGTGATTTTTGATTGATATTAAGTGAATTTTTTTAAATTCTAAATGAACATTTCATTATTGTGTCATGAGCTATATTTACATTTCAAGCATTTTCTAACAGCCCGTGCATCATGTGATTTGTCTCGTCTCTTTCTGCAGAGACCTATGCCTACTTGCACCATCTCGCCTGCCTTGCTTCTTGCTGTATTCTGAGAAAAGGCCCTGTAGTGAGCGTAGAACAGTATGCTCTGTCCATGCTTAACTCATGCACATTGGGTGTAGACCAGTGAATTCTATTGGTGCCTGCCTGCATGGAAGACACCAATTTCCACTCACATGCAAGCTGTGTAGCATGTGTGTTTACTGTTTTGTTGATTTAATAAGAGGAGAAAATGATTATTATTTAGAAAGTATTTATTTTTTCATTTTGAATTAATGTGCCATGAACTATTAGTATTAATTTAGTAAACCTGATTTTATCAATAATAAAAATAATGGATTGATGTAGGGCATGACTCTCATACCCCCTTCCCTGGATCTGCCACTGTTCAGTAATCTGTTTTGCCTACCCTGAACATTTGTTCACAAGCCACCACTGTAAAACGTTGACTACTTAATTGCTCTCTTTTTATATATATAATATTTTTCTTTGATTAAAATCATGTTTTCTAATGAAAAATAATTCTTTTTAACTTGTGTGCAGATTTTAAAATATTTCTTTAAATTGATTCTGGGGGTGGGGAATTGGTAGCAAAGTGAGTAGCAGTATGTTCCCTGTGAATTGAATGTAATGAGACCAGAAATATTTTCCAAGAGATGATTTTAATGAAAATGGAAGCTGGGAATTAAAACCCTGAAATCATTTTGGGTGACTTCAAGATGAAGAAAAAATTATTTTGCCTAATATAGAAGAATACTAAACCCTTAACCAAACTTTATGGTGTGCCTTAAGTTTGAATCAAAAGAAATCAACAGACATAAGTTTATTCTTCAATTTATTCATAATGTCCTTTCATAGGTCATCAGCTGCTATGGTGGCATACGATTGGGAGCTTAAGCATCACTGTAGTGACGCTCAAGCTCCGGATGACATTATAATAGTTGATTTACATCAATAGTTCCTATGTTTAAATTGAAGTATAAACAGTGTATGATTAAGCTTGTTTGAAATGTGTTTGTCATCCTTGTTACAATGAAGCAAAAATTCCTTTATAACATGCCTTCATTGAAAATCATTGAAATTATTTAATTTGTATCAGGAGGTGATGGAGGAATCTCTAAACTGATTTAGTAAATTTAAAAACCATGTTCAATAGCATCTGATCTAACATGTGTTTAAAAAAATTTCAGTTCAGCATTTTAGGCCCAACTTGTATTTTTTCTTAAAAGGCATCATGAAAAGGTCTCTATTATCTTTATTTTTAGTGCTCTGTCCTGTTACATTCACTTCACTGAAATATAATTTACAGGTAACTCTAATTATTTGTTATTTTTGATATAACATCAAGTAAAATATTAAATCAAAAGTTCTTTACATTCACTTTTACAAAAGAATCTCTAGTCAAGTCTCTCTAGAAGAACAAAGATGCATGTTCCCAGGCACAAAATATAATTTGACTTAAGGAAAAAAGGACATCTTGAGGGTAGATGCCCTTCCTATTTGCTGGATTACTGAATAGATTTCTTTAACAGTGATTAATTGCAGACACAAGGTAAATGTAATGCAGAGAATGAAAAATGCAAAACTTAAATCAGAATGTTACAGGTAAGAGATGTATACACTAGAAGGTTAATGTTTTTCACCAGATAAGAGAAGATAATATCTAAAGTACTTATAATTAAAATACTTACTTTTGTAGACATTAGATCCACACTAAATAGAATTGTGGCAATTACATCCAAAATAATTATACATCCTGTTGGTATTACCCATATATATTGTAAATTTCTTCCCAAGTTTGGTTTCATTTTCTTCCCTTTTATTGCTGAAACTAAGAGAAGACATGCTAATTATAAGTTAGTGGTGCTATATCATAACAGACATCTTTGGTGCATGGATAAGTCACTAAGGAATATACAATTATAATAAACAAACATATTTAATATAATTATTTCCTGTAAACATCTTATTATAATAATCTTGATGATAAACATGTGACATCCTGCAGGATTACTGTTTGCACTAATGTAATTTAAATATTCTTAGTTAGATACATAAAATAAACATATATGTATTGTTCATAATGAAAGCCTTCTAAGTCAATCACATCATAATCACAACTTTGCATTAAACTTCTAGTGCCCCTTGTTACGTATATGTAACCACATTTCTGGTCAACTTATATTTGCACTAATTTGCAAATTTTATTTCTTTGATAGACATAGTCATCCTGAATGAAAAATATAAGCTTTTTTTCTTCATTCCTGAATGCCAGATGTCAACTTAGCCATGATCGTTAAGGCATTGTGTACTCCTGGCCAGGGTGTACACATGACTTGCGTTGGTTTGAATCTTCATCTAAAACCATGCTTAGCTGCTGTATGCCTGTAATTAAGTTGCAGGGAGAGGCCAGTGGGAAGAGAGAAGAAAGAAAAAAGAGGGGGGAAATGAGAAAGAAAGAAAGAAAAAAAAAGAAAAAAAAAAAAAACAGATTCGAGGTAATGACTCTGTGGCAGATTTTTGAATTTATAATTTGGAACTGCCAGCTCTCACCATTCCTGTAAAATTTAAGAGTAAAGTTGATGTTTTTTGCACAAAGACCCAAACTGCGTATTTTCAACTCACTTTTACAGAAAAGTTCTTTCATGAAATGATTTATAATATATCTCTCTAGACAGACCACATTTTAAAACCCTTAGGCAAGTGAATTTATTTGCCACTGCTGGCATACAATGCCTCAAGTTAGAGGCGAATTGGAAATCTTATTTATTTTTGTTATGTGTTTTTTATTAACAGAAAAGCTTTGACAAAAAATCAACATTTGAAATTTACAGTGTATGTCCAAAATGTGTAAATTCATTGACTAACACTGATTTTCCTAAAGACCTTGGGAATAAGTCATGTAAATGACTCTGAGTATTCTGGTGTCATTAACTTGATTTATCTTCAGTGATTTATACTCAAAATCAAGATTAATGATTATATTGACAGGTAATAATAACTCGACTATCTTAGCTAAATCCTTCTTGATAAAACATAAACTAAATAAAGCTTGGCAAACAAGATTAAATTTGTAATATATTTTAGGACACATTTCATTATGAAAACTCATAACTGTCCACAAATAATATTTATCAAAACTTAATCTGAATTAGTTTAAGAAAAAGCTTTGCTATAGCAAAATCACAAGGCGTTTCCACCTTAATGCTTATGAAAGACTTTTCTAAATCAAAAAGTTGTACAGAAAATGTCTAACATTTTATATTATTTAATCTTAAGAGAATAATCAATTTAAAAAATGAGTCACTTAATTTTGAAAATATAATTTGGTAAAAAATTCCTCTTTTTCACATTTCCCATGTCCTACAGTCTGGTATCAAAACAATATTTTCAGAATGGAGACAAGGTTTTAGAAACTAGAGAAATTGAGAACTTGTTTTGAGAAGTTTCAGTTTGAGCCTTTTTCCAAAGTGTCCTTCTTTACATGCATTATTTTAAAGATAGATCCTTTTTATGCAGTACCTTTTCAAATTTTGAGAAATCGATAATGGAATCACTGAAATCATAATTTCTTAATTCATACCGCCAAAAATTACAGGTGAGAATACGGAATTTAAGGGCTGAAATTCATGTGAGGTTGCCTGCACTAATGAAAGTTGACAGCTCTGAGCAGTCAATGGGGAAAGGGCAGAGAAGGGACTTAGGAGAGGTGAACGGGCAGTTGAAGTTACACAATGGAAGGGAGAGGATGTTTTGGGTAATGTTAAATCAATTTCTGGGATTCGTTTCTCAGTGTCCATTATAAAGTTATTAAATTAGTGTTTGGGACAGTTATTTGATTTACTGCAATATCAAATACTTAATTCAAATATTGGATTGAACATGTTATGAAAGAAATAAACTAATTTTTTTAAATTTCGCTGAAAATGGGATTTTAGTGTCGATATAAAGGCACTATATTCAAGAGTTGGTCAAAATAATATGAACACCATGCAATGTAGGGTATCTTTCTGCATAACGGTGCCACTGTGGACAAATAAACTCTGTCTGGCAATCAGAGTTTTTCTATTGAAAATGTGCGGTTTTCTGGGACACAATTACAATACTTTCTCTTCTTACAAAGTAAATATGTTTAGGCATAGTTTGCAGAGCATCAGAATATCATCAAACATCTACCCTGCCCAGCACAATCACAAGACTTCAACGTAATTTAACCATTATTGGATGTTTTAAAGCAAGGAGTGAGGAACAGATTTCCAGCTCCAACATCTTTGAAGCAATTGGTGAATGTTCTGGTACAAGAATGGGAGAACTTCCTGTTGGAAACATATTCAGACATGCTTCTAAAAGCAAATGGTGTCCCCTAACCTAAATAAATAAATATTTTGTGAATGTCGGGTGTTATTGTTTTGTCCAACCCCTGTACACGGTTAAAAAAAAGTAAATAAAAGATAAAAAGGAAAGGAAATATTCTGCAAGTAAAATATCTTCACCCACAAAAACTTAAGAATTCCACTTCAATTCTCAACTTATGTTGAGGCAGATTGGTAGCAAAATATCAATTTTGGGAAAAATGACTAGGTGGTACCTACTGTATAGGTTCTATTCAGTGTCATTCACAGATTAATCAACAGGTTTTTATAAAACAAACTTTTTTAGTATAGCAGGTACTCACCAAAAAATTCCTTTCAATCAATATCACAGTATTGACTATTTGCATGATTAAAATACTTTATAATACAAACTAATGAAAGATAAAAATTTTAATTAAAATTTTAAGCAAAGGCCCATTGATAATTTAAATGGGACAAGATCTTTTAGAGATCTTATTATAAATTTTGAATTTGTTCTCCATTAGTCACATTCTCATTTCATCCCTACTTTAGTCAAATATTTCATAACACAACTTACCTAGAAGAAGAATTGATGCAATAAACCAGAAAGAGTATAGTACTGTGTAGAGGCTCATGAAAATTACAGTACGATTGGCAGCTTTGTTCACACCATCAATAAAGTAGTCATTATTATTTACCTTGTATGGGCTGCACTTAGCACCTGTGCAGAAAAGAAATGAGAAGTGTTAATTGCTTTACAACCATATTTCATCTCTAAAGGTAAATTGTTGGGAGATGAAAGCATAATTCACAGTTCTAATTTAAAAGCTCTAATTAAGATCTACAAGGTCATGAATTCAATCCATGTGGAACAGCTACCTTGAATCAAATAATTATAGTTCATTTTCATTCTGGCGTTGCAGCGCCTCTGATAAGCACCCTTCACCCCCAATAAGGGCCATTGAAAAGCATTTTCATTTACAAATGCTATTGTTTAGGATCTCGCTGCGCATCTCGTTCACAAATTTAATTTAAAGCCACCTGTCTGTATCAGATATACATCAAGTTAGAATCTTTTACTATCTCGTATACGTACGTATAGTGTTACGTATAATATGTATAGTATATACGTAATGTGTGTCGTGTAGAGAAAGTTATGTAATACTGCGGAATAGCCATTCTGAGATTTGAACGGAAATACACATTTTGGGGTCCCCTGATAACAGACAGAAAAAGGATTGTTTTTTATTCAAAACGTCCATCCGCCCATTTATGTATTACTTACTACTAGCGTCTAAACCACACGTAGGATTTTTTTCAAAATTGAAGAAACCCCTGTCCATCTGGTTTGAGTCGAAGTTTTGAAATTTTGAAAATTATTTTTTAAAATTTGAGTGTACTTTACATGAAGCTTCCCAGACATTTTCAAAATTTTCGGTTCCAAATTTTATCTTTAAATTTCTTGGAAATGGTTCAAAGCAAATATTATCATGACATGGAAGATACTAAGATGCTGATTTGTAATAAAATGAAATTTGTACATTACTAATACACTATGTAATAGTGTTTACAAATCGCTGGAAACGTACATATTAAAGGTGTGTTAGATATTTCAAGATAATTACATTTTTGTAATTTAAAAAGAAAAAGTACTGAAAAATAAACTTTATGCCATTTTAAGTTGTGCAACTAGCTCTATTCGTTAGGAAAAAAATTGGAGCTATTTTTGAGATAATAGCGTTTGAGTGTTTCTGAAAATGCGGAATTTTGAGCTAATTTTCACAGAAAACGAGTTTTTGAAAAATTTATGACTTTATTTAAAATAAATGTACTCATAAATATAATATAAACAAATCGCTCCTAATGTATATGTTAACGACGTGAGAGACTAGTAAAAAAATATTTTTTTGTATTTTTTTAAAAAACAACAAAAGAGATTAGAAAAAACTGATGTTTATGGCATCTCATAGAGTGCATTTAATACTATCCCTACCACAAGTTTAAAGAAAAAATTTGGAGATTTTTTGAGAAAATCTTGTTTTTGTTATTTTTTGATTTGCACGCAATATTGCTCGAAAACTACTAAATTAAAAAAAAATGTATATTACCTTAATGACACAACAAACTATGGAGAACAAATTTTATTTAAAGGGAAAATCTCTAGCTTTACTTTTGTAATTGTAGGAAGACACCGAAAAAAATCATACTTTTGAAATTTTCGAAAATTTAGAGTTAACCGTAAAAATAGGACCTATGGCACCTTTATAAGTATTACTCTACTCTAAGTGTTACTCTATTCTTACAAGAAATTTAAAGAAAAAAATTGGAGCCGTTTTGAGAAATTTTTAAAAATATTTGGGGCGCTTCATGTAAAGTACCCCCAAATTTTAAAGAAAGTTTTCTAAAAATCACGGCGCCTCGAATGAAGTTAAATCGACCGGGAAATATCCATTTTGGAAAAAATCGCACGTATAGTTTAGGCGCTTGTGGTGCTCACAGACTGACAGACGGACTTACAGACGGATGGAAGTTTTGCCGTCAGTTGGTTTTTCGGTGTCAAGGACCCACAAAACAGGGATTATAGGTACATACTTGTTAGAGAATTTTTGTTTTTTAATTAATCAACTAGATTTATCCACTTTTTCGTTATCAGGGCTTGGCAATGAAATTTTTTCTGTCGAAAATCCGCCGTTTGTTTACGCGGCATTACATAACTTTGCCGATACCTCGAATATTACTCCGTGTATAGTACGTATATGGGAAACTAAAAATTGCACATTGCAATATTTACAGATTATATTTCATTAAAACCTATCTCTATATTCAAAAATGTAGAAAAACTAGCACAAACTAATAGGAATGATTTTTTTTATGAGTTTGCATTCATTTCAAGCAGAAAGTACGCGAAAACTACTTTTTTTCAAAACATTGTACATGGCCTTTCTTTAAGATGTAATTATTATAACATATTTCATTAAGAAACTAGTGGTGCTAAAACAGCACTTACTTTCTCTCGTTTAGTAATAGTTATGTAAATATATTTATACTAGTTATGTAATACAATTTTTTAAATAAATTATGAAATTGTATGAATGTTTAATCATTTGAAGTTTTAGCTATTTACATGAAACCCCTAGGATATTTTCAAAACAAAAACAACAACAACAAAAAAAATAGCTCTTAGGTTTTTTTATTTCATTTTGTTGTTCGTATGAAAGACACTTATGCGAATGCTGCATGTCTCATTTTCGTTGAAAACTGATTTTTTTTAAAGTTATAACAATTCGAAACTTATTCTACATTCTAATTTATATCCAGCAAAATTTATATTTTTATTATATCCATCAAATTTCCGCTTTGCTGAAAATCTGGGTCACATAAAGATTTTCTAGGAGTGAGAATCTTTCCATTGCTCTCAGTGCACCAAGGGAAATGCAAACTCTTGTTAAGAACTTGTCGCTCGATTTGAATGAAGGGTTCTACCCCACGGTGTTGTCGACTTGAGCGTTTCCGTCCCGATCCTCTAAAACGCGCAAACGTCTGCCTTCGGGCTAATTATGGCTTGTTATTTGGCAGAGTTTTTACGTTTCACGTCACATGTTTCCTTATGAGAACGTCCACACCTGCACGGCAGGCGAGCGTCGCAGCAGCGGATTAACAGCAATTAACAGCGTTTTCTCACCTGCGGATTTCGGAACGCAGTCGGACGCGTTTCGTGCGCGAGCGATCGCTGCCGGACGAGTTTCGTGGAAGTTCGCCTGCCTTCGGGAATCTTCGCTTCCGCTGAGACATAATTGTAGTTCCGGTTCGGAGCGGGCGATTAGTTTTGTCCCCAAATTCCCCAAAAATACTCATATTTAAAAAAATTCAACATGACCTTATTTAAAGATCAATTTTTGAATTGAACGAATAGTATAGTCGCTAGTGTTGTACACGGACGGACAGACGGAGGGTTTAAAGAAAAAACAACAATTTTTAGAGATCAGGGTCCTCCAAAACGTGTATTTCCGTTGAAATCACATCGATTTTCCGCAACATTACATAACTTTCTCTAAACTACGTACTCTGTGCGTATATGAAAAAGTAAAAATTATTTTGGAATTTACACGAATTGAAGTAAAATTTATGTATTGAAATAATAACGATAAATATTTTTAATTGAATCTACAGTGAAATTATAGAATGCAATATCTTACATATACATTTAAAATTTATAGATATTACGGAGGGTCTTTTTTTTCAATTTCGGAAATCACTTCGTTGAACTGGCCGTACTCACGAGAGAAATAGTAGAGGCGCGTCATCTCCCACAGTATGTCGCTGCTGGTGTTGAGGGAGCAGTCGTACATACTCAGCCCCACAGCGACGGTCGCAAGCATTCCCGCGCTCTCCATCTGCAACAGTCGCATGCACAATTGCTTGCCTTTAGAGAGTAGCCTGAAACCTCATCTGGAGAAGATAAAGAATTTGAATCTGTTAAAACTGCTTACGAGCAATAGTCCTGCACGGTGAGATTTCGTTTGAAACACAGCAGTAAACAAAATCCGCTAGATTGCAGCCTGTTATGACAAGTGTCCGCCGCGGGTTCATGAGCGAAAACGGCCCACCTCCCGGGACTTCTAACTACAATAGCGGAATCACAATTTAAAGAGTAAATCATAAAGTTAAAGATGCTATGAAGTTGAAAGTCTAATCAACAGTAAAAATTAAGAGAAAAAGAGCGAATGAAACGTGAAGTTTACCATACGCTGGCAAAAATAACGAAAATAATATTTTGTATTCTCGCTATATAAATGCAACTGAAAGAAACTGTGGGGTAGCTAGAATTATAACAGAAAAGAGAAGCAATACTGGTTTGGAAATAATGAATTATGATCCATAGTTTCCTGAAGAAATCTGAATAATATTTATTCATTAAATCAATTCTGTCTGTCTGCAATTGGCGCAACAACCCGCGAACGGACCAGAGCCTACCAGCAGCGATCACGCCTCGCAGCCATGGGTTTAAGGAGTACGAGTGGTTAGCACCAAGGTATCCCTACGCTGTATTCTGGTCTTCTCAACCTAAAAAGTAAGTTTTCCCACCCTCACATAGCAACATACACTGGGGCATCCCAAGGAAAATATTCTACAATCTTGCCCGACTGGGAATCGAACCCGATTTCGCGTCATGGAAAGCGAGCACACTGACCAAGAACATTATAGCAATTATCATGTCATCCAATATATACCATTATTAATGTTATTATGAATGTCATGTTATTACATAATTATCCCCGTCCTAATAATATTTTCCTAACGTAAATCTATCAAGTCGAATCAACGATATCTTCACGTTTCATATGGCTTAGTGCCAAAAAACGTTGACTTTTAAGGACATTTTAAGGACCCACTTTGCATCTTTCAGTGGTCTCCCTAGACCTTTAATTTATATATTTACGTCAAAACAGTTAAAAACTGTGTGACGTGACCTTGATACCCTTCACCTGAAACTATACGCCCAGCTCAGGAAACGCCGTTGACCTTTTTCTTTCCCCGATTGTCACATGCGAACCTCCGCTGTTGTAAAATGATCTCTTTGGGCCGAAAATCTGAAATAAAATGACAATGTTGCACTGGCGATTTTGGATTAAACCTTATAGGGCAGTGGTAACGCTGAGTGAGAGTTTGGCACTGGCAAGTACGACTGTTTCCCTAGATTTTTATTTTCGAAATGCGTGTTGGCAATTTGAAAACGCGTCGTTTTTACTGGGAAGGTTTCCATGCGTATGTAAAAAGTCTCTAATATTTTTTTGAAAGGGAAATTGACCGATAATTTCGAATTTTATTTTTGTCCTCCACCTCAGAATCAGCTCACTGTGAACGCACGACGCTGGGCCTTCACGGAGCTCGGGGCTGCAACGCTCAAGAGAGTACGACCGAGCTCAAGTGAGTACGGTCATTGCAGCACTGTTTTGTCGTCAGACTGGGATGACAGAGAAATTCTGGCAGTCTTGCTTCAACACAAGGCTCCAGTCCTACAAGTTTTTCGCGAGTTTGTTCAATCTTAATAAGTTCGTGCAAAACGCCCAAACTGATGGCTACAATTAACACTGGTTTAACAAATCTGGCATGATCTTGCAAAACTGACGTCAAACGTTTATATGTGAACCAATCTTTGTAGAAAGCGAGACGGAAAATTGGCTCAGGTAGAGGCACAGGTATGAAAGTTACCGATCGAAGGGAAATAAAATTCTGGTAATTTACCACTCACGTCCCCGGACCCAAATGTAACCACGGTCTGTAATGATCGCAATTATGGCCGTCACTAGACTTGCTAGATTAGGAGTTACCTAATTTTTGCTTTTGCACATGTAAGGCGTCTCCTCACATTCGCGTAAAGGCATTTCGTATGAGGCAATGTCCGCCGTCCATTACGGCTTCTTCTGTTCGAAAATTACAAGCATTATACATGTATGATGTATTTAACATACGTGTTTGATACTTTAGCAATTTGTAATTTGTGTCGTAAATATTTGAACATGTATTTTTTATTGTTTTTTTCGTTTTTTGTGTTCGTTTTTACGTGATATTTGTTTCTTGTTCGTTTTTTCGTTTCTTCTTCGTTTTCCTTTTTTCTGTTTGTTTTCGTATTTTCGAGTTCGTTTTTTCGTGTTCGGTTTTCCTGTTTTTTTTTGTGTTCTTTTTTGTGTACGTTTTTTCGAGTTTTATTATTCGTGTTCGTTGTTACGTGTTTGTTTTTACGTGTGCGTTTTTTCGTGTTCGGATTTTTGTGATCGTTTTTACGTGTTCATTTTGTGTGTACATTTTCTCGTGTTCGTTTTTTCGTTTCGGTTCTTTCATTTTCATTTTTATTGTTCGGGTTTTTGTGTTCTTTTTTTCGTTTTTGTTTCTTGTTTTCGTTTTTTTCGTCATCGTATTTTCGTTTTGGATGTTTCATTTTCATTTGCGGTTGTTGGTGTTCATTTTTTTGTGTTCGGTTTTCGATTTCGTTTTTTGTTTTCGTTATTCGTGTTCTTTTATTTTCATTTTTTTATTTTTCGGTTTTCGTTTTCTTTCGACTTCATTTTTTGGTTTTCGCGTATTAGTTTTAGATTTTTCGTAGTTTTTTGTTTTCAATATTTCGTATTTTTCATATTCGAGTTCATTATCTCATGTTGATTTTAATTTTTTAGTTCGTTTGTTTGTTCCTACTGCGGTGTTCAAGTTCGATTATTTGAGTTCGTTTATGAAAAAACGTCATTCGTTGTCGCTCGCCGTCGTCGTCGTCGTTCGTCGTCGTAGTCATTGTCGTTCGTCGTCGTCGTTCGTCGTGATCGTCGTCGCCGTTCGTCCTCGTTCGTCGTCGTTGTCGTCGTTCGTCGTCGTCGTCGTCTTTCGTCGTGGTTTGTCGTCATTCAACGTCGTCGATTGTCGTCGTCGTTCATTGTGGTCGTTCGTTGTCGTCGTTCGTCGTCTTCGTGTGTCGTCGTTCGTCCTCGTCGTTTGTTGTTTGGTTTGTCGTCGTCGTCGTTCGTCTTCGTCGTGATTGTCATCGTCGTTCGTCATCATCGTCGTAAATCGTCATCGTTTGTCGTCGTCGTTCGTCGTCCATCATCGTCGTTCGCCGTCGTTGTTGGTCGTCGGTCATCATCCACGGCGATCGTAGTCGTCCGTCGTTGACAAACGTCGTCTTTCGTCGTCGTTCGTAGTTGTCACCGTTCGTCGTCATTTGTCATTTGTCGTCGTCGTCGTCGTTCGTCGTCGTGGTTCGTCGTTGTCCTTCGTCGTAGTCATTCATCGACGTCGTTAAGCGACGTCGTCGTTGTCTTCGTTCGTCGTCGTCAATGTTCGTCATCGTCGTTCGTCATCGTTCGTGGTCGTCGTTCGTCTACGTCGTTCATAGTGTTCCTTCGTCGTCGTTCATCGTCGTCTTTCGCCGTCGTCGTTAGTCGACTTCGTTCGTCGCTATCGTTTGTCGTCATCGTCGTTGTCGTTCGTCGTTGTCGTCGTTCGTCGTGGTCGTCGTTCGTCGTTATTCGTCCTCGAGTCGTCATTTGTCGTTCGTCGGCGTCGTCGTGGTTCGTCGTCGTCCGTCATCTGCAGTCGTCTGTCGTCATTAGTTGTGGTCGTCCGTCGTTGTCGTTCGTCGTCTTCGTCGTCGTCGTTCGTCGTCGTCAATTGTCGTCGTTGTCGTTCGTCGTTGTTCGTCGTTGTTCGTCGTCTTTCGTCCTCGACGATCGCCGTCCTTCGTCGTCATCGTCGTCGTCGTCGTTCGTTGTCGTTTGTCGTCCGTCGTCGTCGTTCGTTGTCGTCGCCGTTCACCATCGTCTTCGATCGTCGTCATCCGTCGTCGTTGATAATCGTCGTCGTCGTTAACAATCGCTGTCGTTGTCGTCGTCATTCGACTGTGTCGTCGTCGTCCATCGTCATTCGTCATTGTCGTTCGTCGTCGTCATTCGTCTTCGTTAAGCGTCGTCGTCGTTCGTCATTATTCGTGGTCATCGTTCGTCGTCGTCGTTCGTCGTGTTCCTTCGTCGTCGTCGTTCGCCGTCGTCGTCCGTCATCTTCGTTCGTCATCGTTAGTCGTTTATCTTCGTCGTTCGTCTTTGTCGTTCGTCATTAACGTTCGTCGTGGTCGTCGATCGTCGTCGTTCGTTATCGTCATCGTTCGTCGTCGTCAGCGATGGTAGTCGTTGTTCGTCGTCGTCGTTGGTCGTGTTCCTTCGTCGTCGTTGTCCGTCATCGTCGTCGACCGTTGTCGTCGTCCGCCGTTGTCGTTCGTCGTCGTTCGTCATTGCCGTCGTCACCCGTCGTCGTTTGTCAATCTCGTTTGTCGTGGTCGTCGTCATTCGTCATGGTCGTTCGTCGTCGTTCTACGTCGTCGATCGTCGTCGTCGTTCCTCGTGATCATTCGTCGTCAATCGTCGACATTTGTCGTCGTCGTTCATCCTCGTCGATCTTCGTCGTCCGTCGTCGACGTCCGTTTTCGTTCGTCGTCGTCGTCCGACGTCGTTCGTCGTCATTCGTCGTCGTTTGTCATTCGACGTCGTCGTCTTCGTTCGTCGTTAGTCGTCTTCGTTCATCGTTATCGTCGTCGATCGTCGTCGTTCGTCGTCATGGTTCGTTGTCGTCCGTTGACATCGTTCATTGTTGACGTCCGTCGTCGTCGTTCGTCGTCAATGTCGTTTGTCATCGTCTTTCGTCGTCGTCGTTGTTCGTCGTCCTTCGTCGTAGATTGTCATCGTCGTCCTTCGTCGTGATTGTCATCGTCGTCCTTCGTCGTCGTCGTTCGTCGTGGTAGTCGTCGTTCGTCATGGTCGTCGTCGTTCGTCGTCGTTGTCAGTCGTCGTTGTTATTCGTCGTCCATTCGTCTTTCGTCGTGGTTCGTCATGATTAGACATCGTCCGTCATC